TATAATATAATTCATTATTATAGGTCTAAGCAATGTACCTCCGAGTAATTTGGTTCTGTTTTCTAATTTGATGTCAGTAGTCAAACAGCATTAACTTCATATCCATCTCTAAAATTAACTGTAACAAAGTTTCTTTCTTTAAACTTTCATTTTAGAATGTTTAATTTCGCAACTTTCTCTTTGATTTCAAGTACTTTATTGAAATGAATCAGCATGCTGGTTTCGTTTAATGCGTCAATGTGATATTTGACAATTTTAACACCTGTGGAACTCTTATAGGAACAGATGCCTACTCTAATTAATTGGACTAATATCAAACAAAAATACTTGATTTAAGCAATAATGACCTATACAACAGAGAAATATAATCAATGTAACTTGCTGTATTCAAACAAGCATATTTTAAAGATCTTGAAACTCTGCAGCAAGGTTTATGTCCAGATAGGTATTGCCATTTTATTTACATTCAATAATCTACTACTGGAAGGTTAGCATTGATCAATGGGTTTATGAATATTTAAGTCCCAGAAGTCATTTCAATTGATGTGTCTTCAAATTCTATTGTTGGAATTTATTCAGAAGGTGAAGGAATATTTAAATTCTACAAAGGGTATATTCTTGCATATATCTATGAAAATTCAATTATCAATTTATTTACCAATGGTAATGGCAGTTCATTCTTCTTAAGTTCAGATAATTTTTACATAACTTTCAACCTCTATGATAACTATGGATATAACATTTAAGCTTAAAATGGCTCTTTAATAGCAACAGAGTAATATAAAGATCCAAATGTAATAGGTAATTTTTGGTAAATCATAATTACTACTAATTAATTTTACATTGACAATCAAAATTATGATTTAAATTGGGCTTTTAGAATGCTTTAAATTTAATCTTTAGTTTTCCATAACTAATAGGACATTAGATACTTTATGATATTTGACTAAACCTCTAATAATTGGGATTTCAGAATGGCTGAAAATGACATTAGTGTTGATTAATTAGTACCCTACGAAGCGTTTATTTACATTGGTCCAAATACTATAGTCACAATTAGCAAATTAACCATGCATGATAACTATAATCTTGTTAAAAATCCTTACTTTGACCCTATTATGATATTTTGTGATTCATGTGTATTGACTATAGATGAAATCAATTTTGTTCTCTAAAGATATCCAGAGTCTGCTTTTATAATGGCTAAAGATACCAGCTCTGTTACTCTAAAAAATATAGATTTTACAACAAGTGGTGCTATTCCTTGCGGAAAGTTAATAAAAATTATAGGAGATAAAGCTGGCTCTCTCTTAATTGACGGAATTGATTTGGATGCCAGTATGCCTATATCGGATGAAACAACAGGAGGAATCATAGAATCTTACAACCCGTAATCAATAATCAAAATATAAAACTCAATACTATCCTATCATTCTAAACAGAAGTTGTCCTTTATCAAGATATTTTAATTATAGTCACTAGAAATTTAGCACTCAGAAATTCATCAACTTACTGGACTTTTCCAAGGATAATTTATTAATTGCGAGTCAGAAAATACATATATTCTATTAAATGATGTTAAATTTTTCAACGGAGATGTTGTTACATTTTAGGAATCATAAGAGCTAACCTCAGTAATTTATTTAGAGAATGTAGATTAGCTTACGTTGTCTTATATAACCATCGCCCAACTATAATCATCTTATTAGTTTTTGAATGCTCAAGGTGGGTAAAATATAGTAATAGATCACTTGTAACTTAACTGTTAATTAACTTCATTTGGGATGTAGCTAATGGATTATGAGTATTTAAAGCTGGTAACTGATAACACAGTCATAGAATAATAATTTGATCTAAATTACTAATCACCAATATAAATTAATAACGTTAACAATGTTAATATGCAATGGGGGAATATGAGAAATTGCTACTATCAAAAACGAGGAGGAATTTTTACATTTGTTAACTCTACTGTTGTTGATTATAATACTACCTTTCAAAAGAATTTAGCAATGTCTGGATCAGCAATATACTGTGAAAATTGTAAAATGACTCTAACTTAAACTTATATTAATTATTAAGTAGCAATGAAAGGTGCAGCCATATATCTAAATGGAAGTTCTAATGTGGAATTCATTGATATGTGGTTAGAACAATTATACGCTTATGATAAGGGAGGATTTTTATATGTAGAATATAGTTCAAATTTAATTTCAAATAGTGAAGCCTAAAGTAATGAGAGCACTTTAGATAATTAGTTGGCGAATTAATCTAAAATAAGCTTAATCAGAGGTAATTTCCTTGCTCTATACGCATTAAATATGGGAGGAGGATTATTTATAGACTCAGAACTAATAGAGATCTATTTTACCAATATTTATCAGTACACCTCAAATTCAAAGAATGGTGGGTTTATTTATTTATAAAAAGCAAAATCTCTTACAATAGCTGACTCTAATTTCAGAAATTATTAAGGCTATAATGGGGCTTTTATCTAAAGTGAGTCCTCAAATACTGTCATTTCGATTGAGAGATCTAATTTTAAGTAAAATTCCAATCCAATTTATGAAGACCCTCTTGATTCAAATCCAACAGTTGATTACTCATATGATGAATACGGTGCTATATATATTAAAAAGGCTGAGTCTGTTACATTTAAAAATAACAAATTCTATAATCATTACTTTAAAAAATATGGAGCAGTCGCATTTTTAGAGCAGACTAAGTTTTATGATAATGGATCTACATACTTCAATACTTTATCTGAGATTGGAGCTATTTACTTTAATTAGACTTATGATGTAGAGTTGAGCTTTCTTAATATCGAAGAAAATATGTCTTTAACTGGTGCTACTGGATTGCATTTTGAGTAAGTGAATGGTGATGTTAAGCTGACAAATGTTACGATTTACAAATCATCAGGAGCTAAGGGAGCAATATGCTATTAAAACTATGAAAATTCTAACGCAATAGTTTCAAACTAATTACTTTTGACAAATGTTTCTATCATAAATTCTGGTGCTCAATATCATGCTGGAATTTATTACTTTCATCAAAATGGAATTTTTATCACTAGAAATCTTTTTCTCCTTTTCGTTGAGTCTTAATACCTTGGAGTAATAGCAGTTTAATCAGCAAGGATGGTAGAATTCCATGATACTATAGTAACAGAAACCAGAAGTATTGAGGGTGGTATTTTTCTTTACGCAGAGAATGTGAGAGAATCAGTATACATCGGCTAGATAAGAATATAAAATATGCCTTAGGTTATTTTTACAACTTTGAGGAGAAATCTAGCATTCTGGCACCAGAATTATAGATTTTATTATTCAATGATGACAGTTAATCCATACTCACTAATTACAATTAGAGGGGGAATATAAGCATACATCAACAATTTAATTCTTAAAAGTGCAATATTCGAAGATGGTAACAGGGAGATAATAAGAATGTATGGTGTTGATGATCAGTAGCCAATTTTGTTTTTAGAGACTAATTCTTATTATGAGAACATTAACCTAACTAATTAAGGTATGTATTTGTTCAGCAATGCAAAAGTTTTTCAATATAATAACATCTATAAAAACTATTTTCTTGTAAAAAGCATGTTCAATTTTGAGAATACAAAGCTAATAATGAAAAATACCAGATTTTAAAGTT